TCGAGCCCTCTTGCTTTTCTGTCTGGCTTGGGGCTGACCAGCTAGGCCAGGCTGTCCAGCTGCCTGACGATCCACCGTGCCTCCTCCCACCCCCGCTGGGAGTACAAGCATGTGCCGCTGTGCCCACTGCTAGTGTATGTGCGTTCTAGGGATTGGACTCAGAAGCACTTTAGCACCTGAGCCATCTCCCGAGTTCCAGTACCCTCTTCTAAATAACAGGATTTAATTCAACATCGTCTTTCCACTTTTCTAACAAGTATCCTTAGCACAGCTTAGGAAAACTCCAAGATAAACTGACAAGAGTGAAATTGCTCAGCCCTTGACAATGAGCTTGTCCTACGCCTGACTTTGGAGGGAGAGGTCCTCGGGAAAGGAGGTGTGCTCACCCTGCACGCTGATCCCACAGCTAAGGGCCCGGCTCACTTTGTTCCACCCACGTGGGGCGAGAGGAGCCCCAAGGCCAGGGCCCAGAGCCTGCAGTCTTGGAGATGCCCCTGTCAAACACACCGAGCCAGACAGAGCTGCTAAGCCTGGCTTCTGAAAGCTGCACAGAGCAGCGTCACGTGAGAGACCGGGAGCAGAAGCCTCCCTGCCTGTTCCCTCAGGACCACTTCCTGGAGCCAGCCAGCTCCACAGCCAGGAACCAGTCTACTGTGTACATATGAAAAGTGAGTTTTCCTCTGCGGAAAACAATAGAGCCGAAGCAGACACACGTGCTGCTTGTGAACCCCTCCTTCCCGGGCCAGCTCTGCACAGAGGTGTCATCAACCCAGCCATCTGCTTCCTCTGCTTCCCGGTCTCTTGGCTGGAGATCCCACACTTCTGGAGTGTTATCAGTGACCACACAGAGCAGGGCTTGCTGTCTACAGTTATGGGGTGGGGGAGCTGAGGAGGCTGCCCAGTCGACAGCAGCCACATTCCCGCAGCATGTCCATGAAGACTGCGTGAGGCCAGGTGTGATGTCTCCCAGCTGCCAGGAAGCTGAGGCAGGAGGATAACAGGTTCCAGGCTTACCCACGCTGCATGAGGAAATCATGTCTCAGAGAGGCAGAAAGGGGATTCGGAGATTGTTTGGCAGATAAAGTATGTAATTTGCAAGCATGAGGACCCGAGTTCAAACCCCAGAACCTACATAAGCGCCTGGGTTCAAGCAGGGATAAGGAGAAGCCCACAGGGCCCTACCCCGGGTTGAAGAATCATGGCAGATGGCTGCTGAGCGAGGGAGAATCAGTCTTCCCCAGGGATGAGCTCCATCCAATCCCAAGTGGAAAGCCCTAAATATATGTGCATGCTAATGACACTAAATGGGCTCTGTAGGGTGAGTGCATATGTGTGTGTGTGTGTGTGTGTGTGTGTGTGTGTGTATGCCTGTGTGTGTGTGTGTGTGTGTGTGTGTGTGTGTATGTGGTAAATACAGAAGAAACCATCAGGAATCCCAGAGGGAACTAGGGAAGGAGGAGTTGGAAGGGGAAAAGAAGAGGTATAAATATAACTATAGTGTACTTGTGTATGAAATTCTAAATAAATTAATTAAATGATGCATTTGTAATCCTAGTCCTGAGGATGCAAAGCAAATGGACCCTGAGGTTCACTGGCTATCGAGTCTAGACTACTTGGTGAGTTCTAGACCAGTGAGAGACCCTGCCTCAGAAAAACAAGGTAGATAGTACCTGAGGATGATACCCTAAATTGACCTCTGCATGCACACAAGGAAGGAAGGAAGAGAGGGAGGGAGGGAGGGAGGAAGGAAGGAAGGAGGAAAGAAGGAAGGGAGGGAGGGAGGACGAAAGAGACAGCCTGCCTGTGTGGTGATCCACCATGGAGCAGGCGACTTCCTATCTAAGGAGCAGAAGAGACCACATTGGTGAGCATGAAACTCCATCAGAGTCCAGCAAGGGGCCTGGTAGTCTGCAAACAGTTACCTTTCACTTTGAGCCCCTCTCTCTGCATCTGCTGAGGTGTCAACCAAGTGAATCCCACATTCATTCAAAGTCAAATCTCAAACGGCACTGTAAGTGGATGCATGAACTCAGGTTAAAACAGGTCCAAAGCTGGAAAGATGGCCCTGTCAGTGAAGCGCTGCCTCACAAGGACACAGTCCTGAGGTCAGTCCCAAGCCCGGAAGTAAAAGGCTGGTAAGGACAGTAGGTTGTAAGCCAGGGCCCTGGAGACAGTGAATCCCTAGGACTCAGTGGGCGTGCAGCCAGCCTACCCAAATCAGCAAGTTTCCACTTATAGAGACTGCATTTCAAAACACAAAATGGCAACCCAGGCCGGGTGGCACACGCCTGTGATCCCAGCACTGGGGACGCAGAGGCAGGCGGGTCTCCGAGAGTTGCAAAGCAAGTCCAGGACAGCCAAGGATCCACAGAGAACCCCTGTCTCAAAAAAACTAAATGAGAACAAAAGAGCACAAAGTGGATGGATGGTCAGGAGTAATCCCAAGGCCACTTGCCAGAGTTTAGCCTGACACACCTATCACACACTCACTTTTAAGCATGCACACGTGCACACACAAATGTACAATATTTCAGTCAATTGTTTCCCCCTGGTGACCACAGCTGTTCCACAAAACAAACAAACAAACAAACAAACAAAAAACAACAACAACAACAACAACAAAAAACACTGCTAACAAGCTGGACAAGGGAATGCTGTGACCGTAATGGCCAAGTACCATGAACTGGCACCAAAAGTGAGATGGAAGCAAGAAGTGCTTTTCTCAATACTTCCAAAAACTCAGAATCAAGAAGTGGAACCGAGGTGTCCAGACGGCCTCCCTGGGGAAGCTCTAGGAGAGGCCCTTCCTGATTCTGTTTCCTGTGATGGTAGGCGACCCTATCTGGTCACCACAGCACTCCATCTCCACTTCTGTGGCAGATAGCCCCTCCTGCACGTGTCCCAGTGGTCTCTCACCTCCTCACAAGGGAACCTGTGCCACTTAAGAGCCCCCTAAAAATGCAAGGTCATGCCCACCCATATCCTCAAGTATGGCAGAAAGCAGTCCTCAGAGCTAAATAGCCACCATCTTCATCACCTTGTCCTTGCCTGCCTTCCAGCGTCAGTCATGACCTTGCCTGTGCGTTGATAATGAGAGAGGGGGAATGGTGGGAGGCACTGGACCCTCAGCTGAGGCTCCAGTTGTTCCTCCTGGCCATCTGTTTACAGTTGCTCTCGTTGTGTGTGGCCTGAGGTATCCTGGAGGTTAACTGAGGGGTCTCCACGGCCCAGCAGACCCACTGAATCCCCAGGAAAGCTTTGGTGGCATTGAACTTTGTCATCAGAACTTGTTTTGCTTAGGTTTGGTTTGGTTTTCAAGTCAGGGTTTCTCTGTGTAGCCTTGGCTGTCCTAGAAGTAACGCTGTAGACCAGACTGGCTTCTAACCCACAGAGATCCACCTGCCTCTGCCCCTGAGTGCTGGGATTAAAGGTGCATGCCACCATTGCCCGGCTGTCGCTAGAACAGTAAAAGGCGGGGGGGGGGTGTAGACGGTGTTTAAACCTCCCCAGGGAAGGGATCTCCCCTTATCAGGTTAATCATATCTGCTGTCTTCTGTGTCTTCTGTGCCACACAGGGGCATCCTCAGGCCCAGGGATTGGCTCGTGAGTAGTGTCAGTGGTCACTACTCCCTACCAAACCGGGGCAGGACCGCACTGGTTATTTTTCCAGTCACCACTGTCAGAACCCTGACAGAGGCAGGGAGAAGCTGTTCATTCTGGATCACAGTCAAAGGGAGTCAGCTCCTAACAACAAGGAAGACAGGGTGACCTGGGTGGCTCTTTGCACGGTGGCAGGAGCTTGCGATATAAAACCTGTTCACGTGTTTGTAGGTCGGAAAGCAGAGAACATGGAACAGAAATGGGGCGACACTATATAAGCGCCTGCCCCCAGAGACCTACCTCTGACAATCATGCCTCAGGGCTCACAGCCTCTACAAACTCCCACAGTCACACCGGCTGAGTACCGAGAGTTCAGCCGCACGAGGGCCAGCAAGAAGGTTCGGTAAAGGGGCTTGCTGCCAAGCTGGTGACCTGAGTTCAATCCCCAGGACTCACCCAATGGCAGGAGAGAACAATTCCTGAAAGTTACACATGCATGTGTACGCAAACACACATACACTAAATAGGTAAACGTACACATTGAACAAAAATGAAAACCAAATTTGGGAATTCAAACTCAAGTGCTAACAAAGAGGAGTCGCACCGGCCGCCTACATCGGGTGATGCAGACAAATATATCCACAGTTTTTGAGGCAGGGTCTCACGTTATCCAGACCAGCTTCAGACTGCAGCTGAAAATATACCTTGAACTTATGACCCTCCTGCCAGTGTTGGAATTAGAAGTATGTGCCACCATGCCTGGTATGTGAATCTTCACACTTATTAGAAGTATTTTTATCTATCAAACCCATCTTGGTTTTTTTTTCTTTTCTTTATTTTATTTTATTTTTTTTGAAATAGGGTCTTGCCTGTGTAAATATGGATTGCCTTGAACTCGCAACAATCCTCCTGTCTCAGCCTCCTGAGTGTTGAGATTATAAACATACACCACCATGCCCAGATAAAACTCTGGTTTTCCTAATCATTTATATAATGAACTTCCCAAAGCCAGCCCTGGCTCCCGGGCTTCTCTCCCTGGAGTAATAACAACTTCCTTCCCACTCCACTGCTCCACCGGCCCTGGCATAGGGAAGCTGTTGAGACATTTGGCCACATGATCAGCACTAAAGACGACACTACTACTGTGCCTTTCCATAGGCTTGGGGACGTGGGAGCCATGACTCTGCACCCAGTGCTTGAGAGAGACGGCTCAAATCTCCCCCAGGACCGGGGACACAGTTCCTGCGCTGGTCCAGATGGACACCCAGATATGTACTGTGGAAGCTGCCCCTTCCTCGTGAGCCCATGGGAGCATCTGCTTCTCCCAAAGCCGGCATGCCCCTGACTGCCAGCACGGTTCAGCCGGGAGGGTAGAGTGCAGACGCCTCAGTCCTGCCTACCTCCTCTCGTTGTCATCCAGGTGTGAAAAGAGCACGTTCTTCGAAATGGCCTTAGCCAGAGCCGTCATGGTCTTATAGTCCTTGGGAATGACCTGTGGAGAAGACCAGGATCAGACCTTTTAGCCCTGGGGACAGAGCCAGCTTTCTAAGCTGCTGCTAAAAACTAAGGAAACGACCTGGCCTGCACTGATTCTCCTGCCGTCCTCATGGGCATAGTATCAGACCTTGCCAGAAGAACAGTAGGAAAGGCCATATATATTTTACTTTAAATTGTTAAAATTACATTTATCTGTTTACTGGGGTTAGGGTTCGTGTGCTGCAGTGTTCATGTGGAGGTCAGAGGTCAGCCTGCAGAAGGCAGTTTTCTCTTTCTACCATGTGAGTTCTAGGTATCCAGTTCAAGTCATTAGGCTCAGTAGCAAGCATGCTTGCCTGCTGAGCCATCTTGCCAGCCCACCATTAGAAGTTTTTTAAATAAATAAAGAGCTAGAAAATGGAGCAATCCAGTAAGAAGCTTGGGCACAGTCTAGTCTAGAGTTTGGAACTGTTTTGGGCCTGTGGATCTTTAGAAATTCAGAACCACTTACAAGATGCCAGAAGACAGCCAGTACCTTTTGTTAATAGTTTTGTTGTTGTTTTTACTTTCACTAAATTTGTAGAAATATGATAAGCAGTTGTTTAAAGATTAGAAAGCTGAGTATGTATAGCTCAGTAATATAGTGCCTACCTAGTGCCCTCCCAGTGAGGGGCTAGGATGTGGCTCAGTGGTAAAATATCTGCCTAGAATTCCCCAGTGAGGGGCTGGGGTGTGGCTCAGTAAAGCCCTTCCTCATATGTGCAAGGCCCTGTGTTCCAGTGCCATAAACTGAAATAAAACCAGACCAAATCTGCAACAAATATGCCTCATTGATGTACGATGCCAGTCTGAGAGATGTGAGTTCAGATGCCATGTCAACAATTCTTCTGTAAAAGGAGCTATTCTCAACCCTTTTGAGAGAACCTCAGTTCAGTCTGTCAGAGGTGTTTCTATGAGAGCTGTGTACATAGACTCTGAGGTCTAATACTGCCTCTGGTCTGGACAACAAGGGCTGGGCCAAGGTTTTCCATGACCTCATAAGTCTCTCTGTATCTGCATGACAAGGAAATCTTTGCATTTTCCATTCCTGCTCAGGGTATCCCATTTTACCCAGAGATGTACCTAAAGCTTCTATAAAATAAGTCTTGGGTTCCCAGCATATGTTATTGCCTAGGCAAACTGTTGGACAATGGACACCTATCCTGAACTCCTGACCCTTGGTGATGCATATACTCACCCCTTGACCTCTTTTCTCACTCCTTATCTAGCCATGTTGCCTTGGCTATTGTTCCAAGTGAAGGCCCTAAACTACTCTTTTATGTTTCCAATATCAGCCATCAAATCCAGAGACTCACCCTTGCTCTACCACTAAGCCACACCCCAGCCCCTCACTGAGGGATTCTAGGCAGGAGCTCTACATTATACCATCACCCTTACCCACTGAGTTTTGGGAGTCCTACTGGATCTGATGGTTAAGTACCATCCATGTTTTAATCTGATCCCTTCAGCTTTCTTGGATGACCTTCTTCTGTCTCAGGTCCTTGTCAGGTGATACTCAGTGTCCTTCCACTTTGGTCCTCTGATCTGTGACATGTGTCATGGTTGCCTGCTTTTGACGGACTTGAAACTGTGCTCCACAAGGCCCCTGAGTTTGGAACTCTCTGAAGCTTTGCACAAAGTTAAACTGTAGTTCTAGGAATGGGGATGACAGCCACATGGGGGAAGTGCTCTGAGGAGTTCACATGATTTGATCTTGCTATGTAGCCCAGGCTGGCCTGGATCATGGGCATGCATCACCATACCCCACAGCTTCCTAGCTGAGTTTACCATAAAGCCATTGTCAGTTTTTATCATCTGCTCAAACAGTATTAAATCCTGGGAAGAAGGCAGCAGTGGGAATTTAGAGGCTGGCGTGCTCTGTTTTTCAAGATGAAAAGCATTCGTGTGCTGATGAGGGGGACAGCTGCATGATAGTGGGAATGCTTGCCACCACCTGGCTGTGCACCTAGAAATGGCTAAGCTGCTGCACAGGTACAGCTGCCGTGCCTCCCAAATGCCTGCGTGGGTCCCCTAAAGCACCCTTGTTGAGGAATTTGCAGACCAGGCATGTGGAAGTGGTTGGGTTGCTGAGGTCTAAGGGTGGAGTCCAGGTTTCACGACTTAGTGCCCTTAATAGAGACTAGAGGTCAAGAAGCAGGACAGAATTGCAGCCTGCCTTGTCCTGGAGAACCTTCCTCTCTTCTCCCTAAGCCTGTTGAAATCCTAACACTATAGGGAGCTCCCGAGATCCACCCCAGAGGTTACCACAGCACCAGATACCATGATGACAATAATCCCACCCATAACCAAGTCTCCCATGCCATATGACCCCATTGCTCTGGCCAGACAGGAAATCAAATCCCCAGCGCTGACAGGGACATGTGTGTGTGTGTGTGTGTGTGTGTGTGTGTTGGGGTCCTTTACCTTCCTCACATAGGAGACAGCATCTTCTTCAGTGTAGACCTCGGCACTCACACCACCCCGCCGACTGCGTGCCTTTACCACAGGGTTTGGAGGAATTGGGGAGATCTCTTCATCATGGGAATCACACTGCGAGTTGGACTTCTGCCGAGCCAGGATCTGCCTGTTCTCCTCCTGTGAGAGAAAAAAATGGAAGGTGAGAAATTGGCTGTCATCTGAGCATGGTGGCTAAGACCTGTCATCCCAGCTACTCAAGAGGCTGAGGCAGGAGGATCAGAAAATTCAAGGCCATCCTGGTCTGAAGGTGAGACCCTTGTCTCAAAATAAGTCAGAAGAAAGTAATGGGGATGTAATTCAATGGTAGAATGCCTGCCTAGACTCCTCCAGCAAGCAGCTGGGGGTGTGGCTCAGTGGTAGAGCACCTGCCTAGAATCCCCCAGTGAGGGGCTGGGGTAAGGCTCAGTGGTAGAGGACCTGCCTAGAATCCCCCAGTGAGGGGCTAGGGTGTGGCTCAATGGCAGAGTTCTTGTCTAGAATCTCCCCAGTGAGAAGTGGGGTCATAGTCCTACACTAGAGCACTGGCTGTATCAAGGCCCTGTATCTAGTATCTCAAAACAACAAAAGACAAGACCATACCAGAAAGCAGCTGTCAGAAAATAGCCTCGCCTGAGGATTCTGTATATGGAGACAGGATCCAGGGTCTTCAAGATGAAGAAGGAACTCACAGCTCACACCACAAGCTCCTGATTATCATCATCATCCCTGGAGGACCTCAGATGCCATTGATGCCTCCTCTCTTACAACTCTTAGCAGTGAAAACCATCACTTCAGTGCCAGCTATAGAATTAGCCCCTCTCTCCATCATCCCTCCAGACATCGGCCCCTCCCCTGCCAGGCCCTGGGCATCTCCACACTTTCCTGCTCTCAACTGGGCAACTCCGCCAACTATAATGCCCAGCCCAGACTCTCTTATCTTCATTTCTGTAGTGAGAAACTTTACACCTGGTGCCTGATGCCAACGTCTCATATACTGAGGCCACCACTAGTATTTAACACCCCATGGGGGCTCTACCCACCTTGTACCTTGGTTACCAACCCATAGTCAACAGGACCTATCTATGTTGCCTACCTCTGCTCCCACCACATAACCATCCCCTGCTCCCCTGATGGTTCTCTGCCCCAGGGCCTTTGCCCTTGCTGTTCTGACATTCTAGCATGCTTGGAGCAACTCGTGGCCCCATGTTTCATCCTGAGTTCTATGTTCCATCACTAAACTTCAATGACCAATTGTCACTGGTGTTCTAGCTCCAAATTCATGTCCACCTCAAACCTCATTGGGAAAAGACATTTCTCTCTTCAAAAATGTGCCTAAGAATGATATTAAGCAAGATCATAGATGATCCAGACAGACCTCCACATCTAATGGAAATGTAGTTGCAAAACCTGACTAAGATATTGAGACACAGGAGAGACCAAAAGATCAAGGTAGAGGTTGGAGCAATACACCTATGAGTCGTACTGTGGGCCACTAGAGCCCCGGGTGGCAAGAAGGACCCTCTCCAGCCTCCTGCGAGGACCACAGCCCTGTGATGTCCTCAGAGACCTGGCCTCCACGGCCCTCAGGCTGCCTCAGAGAGTCAGCACTGGCTTAGGAAAGCACAGAGAGAGAGCTGTACCCTATGGCCCCGGAAGCCAGTTTCTACTCAGGCTGTGGTCTGTTCTCTATGTATGCCAGCTCCACCATGATCTCAGTCATGGCCACCCTCCCCTGCACCTTCAGAGAGGGGTCCCAGCTGTGGGAAATGTTCAACTTGAGCTCCAGTTCTGCAGGGAGTAGAGGCCAGAGAAGGTTGGCCACCTACTCTACCCATTCATCACATCCCCTCCCCTTCTGGACTCTCTAAACAGCCAGAGCCCTCCCAGCATCCACATCTGGCTCAGCCAAGAATCTTCCTGAGAGAACCGAATGGCAGGATGCCCTTCGCTCTTCTTAGAGGGGGCTGTGGCTGTCCTCCACCCCATGGTATCATGCCCATCTTCTACCAACTGTGGTCTGGAAATATTACATGAAAATTTCTAAAAATGAAGAGTTTACAAGATTTTTTTTCTTTGTCTGATCATTTTTGCAGTGCTAACGATGGAGCCCAGGGCTTGGCACATCTAAGTAAGCTCTCTACCACTGAGTCATGCTCCAAACCTTTCACTGAGGTATTCTAGGCAGGTGTTGAACCACTGAGCCACCCCACTAGCACCATGCTTGCTTTTATTTTGAAACAGGGTCTTGCTATGTTGCCCATGCTCATCTTGAGCTCCTAATCCTCCAGCCTTAGTATCAGGAATTGCCGGAGTTAACTTCTCTTCCCCACAACCCTCATGATTCCTCTCAGCTCTTGGGACAGCTCCCAGCCCAGAGCCCTTCCTGTCAGCATGATGGAGTCTTCTACCAGGTTGGAGGCTTATGGATTGCCCCCAAGTGGGTCACTGGTGGGTGTAGAACTGAGATGGACCCACCAAGGCTTTCTGATAGCCCCAGACAGAGCCCACCGAGCACAAGCCTGAGACCATGGTTCAAGATGGCCATCTGCAGGTGCACAGTATGAAGGACCCTAGGAAGGACTGCACAGCCGAGGCGGGGTCCCTTTCTGTGATCAGGAACTCCCTGCCATGACTTAAAAAAAAAAAAAAAAAAGAGGCTGGCTGTGAAAGAACTCAAAGTGCCTTAGCTTCCTGCTGGCTACGAGGTTTGTGGCAACCCAGGCTGTCCATGGGCCTGTGAAAAATGAGAGATGAGAGCCAGGTATGGTTTAGGTAGGATGCATGCTTTTGGAAGGCCCTAGGCTCTATCCCCGGCACCACACAGAACAGTTCACCTGTAATCCCAGTGCTTAGACAGTACAGGAAGAAGGATCAGGAGTTCAAGGACAGCCTCTGCTGCATAGCAAATTCAGAGCCAGCTTTCAATATACATGAGATCCTGCCAAGAGAAAACCAAACGTGGAAAATTCTGCTGACTGCCAGCCGACCTTTCCAGTCTGAGCATGAAGGTCCTTGCACACAGACCTGAGCAGGCATGACCGCACACGAGGTGCCAGGTGTCAGCAAAGTGCTGCCAACACTGTCCAGAACTCCCAACCTCTCTTTTTCTCACGTGACAGCTGGAGCCCATTCCTCACAGAGGTGGAGGCCACCTGCTCCTCTAACCAAGGAAGCCACATCTCCACCCATCAGCGTGGCCAGGGAACGGGGCCTCATCCCAGTGACTGGTGGAATCTCAACTCTTCAGATCAGTGGATCCTGAACACCCAGCCAGGAAACCACAAAGAATGTTCAATGCAGTCCTACAAAGCCGTTTAAAAATATCTTTTACAGAATTTCCCGCAAGAAGACAGCAGGTGGGCGAGGCAGCTCCCCTCCCTCCAGACACTCCACTCTAACGATAGTACATTAAATATGTGCACATATAAAATCCACACCGCTGAGGAGAACGGGAAAGACGCCATCAAAAAGTTTCAGAAGATTCCGGGAAAACCCAGCCAACCCAGGAGTAGGATCCAGGACAAACGTGGGTTTCCCTAGCTTCAGGAAGGGAGTGGGGTGCCCTGCAGAAACCCCTGGAGCACAGTGGAAGCCAGAGCAGACCCCAGATGAGGAAGGTTAAAAAAAAAAAACAGACCCTGGGTTGGCCATACACCAGGCCAGCTCCACAGACTCTCATTGCTTCCCTTGGCTTAACTTTTGTTATGGAAATGTTCAAGATAATACAAAAGTATGACTCACCAAACACCCAGAGCCCAGTCTCCCCAAGATCAAAGGAGACCCACTCCTCCACCCCACCCCCCTTAGTCACTCCTTCATGAAGAGAACCTAAGAGGCCACCGCGTGATCTGAAGGAGCAGCCACATCTTGAGGAAAATGAAATTCTGCTTGCCGGTTTGTAGATATAAATAACATCGAAATGATGTGTTCCAGAAATGATACCTCCACCACCACACACCCCAAAGCCAGACTTCGTGAGCAAGGACAGTTCTCTCCGGTGGGCAGAGGCTTCTGTCCAAGGAAGTTGAGCAATACACCATCTAGTGGTGGCCATTCCATGCTCCTGAGAGCCCAGCTTGGAATGAACCCAGGACCCCCATCGACCCCTACATTGGAAGATGGATGGAGGTGTTTGGGGAAAACCTCAGCTAGTGGAACAATCCCAGCCTGGTAGAACAAGCCTGGGTGTCATCCCTGCACTGGAGAGGCTTAGGCAGAAAGACCATGAGTTTGGGGCCAACCTGGGCTACATAAGTAAGACCCTGTCTCAAGACACAAACAATAGGGCTGAGAATGTGTCTCTGTGGGTAGATGGCTCACTTAGCACACATGAAGCCCTGGCTTTGATCCCCAGCACTTCATTAGCAGAGAACAGTGGCACACACCTACAATCCTAGCCCTCCAGAGGGCCTGTACTACATAGTGAGTTTTAGAACAGCCAGCGGTATGAGGCGAGACACTGTCTCAAATTCAAAAAGTAAATAACAAACAAAGAAAAGGAAAAATACACACATACAGACAGGGGCTCCAAGAACAAGTTATATTATTGTAGGAAACATCTGAATTACAGGACACAAACCCTCCTACCTCCACCCTACTCAGCCACAGGGGTCCCTGAGGGCAGCTGTGAGGGAAGCTTCCACCCATGCTCAGGGGAGGAAGGCTGGACCTCCCAGAACATCAATAGGAGGCTGACTCACCAGCCCTGTAGTTTGAGCATAGACCTCAGCATTACCGGCTGACTCATTTCTACAAGGCCTCATCCCATGCCTTCCCCACACGCTGAAGCACACATGGTGTGTGCCCTATCACGCCTGTGGCCCTGTCATGCACCAGGCTTGGCGAAGCCTGTGTACCACTCCGATCCTGGGGCGGAGCTGCAGGAGGTAGGGTGCACTCCACTGGCACTGGCTGCCTCGTCTCGCTCCGAACCTGGTACTCTAGAAACTCAGGCAAAGCAACACCACATTGTCCTGTTGCCTTGACAACCAACCTCAGCATCTCTGAGACAGCTGCCTTTCTCTTAAATCTCCCTCCATTGCCACCATCAGAACAGACCAACAAGTAGGTCTAGAAATATCTTGTCTGATCGGAGAGGTCATTGCTGGGTTGCGTGTGTGCCTGTTGGAGGTCAGAAG